TCCCACAGACTGTTTTCTGCTCCTTGCCAACACTGCAGCCCAAACCCACAGCCCCTGTTCAGGTCCCATCCTCAAAGTACAGCACCCACAGGAGAAAGGTCCCTTGTTAGGGGGCTGCAGGAGGGAGTCCCACTGGATAGAGATTTCCCTGGAGCTCAGGGACCTCTGCTTTAGTGGGAGGTGTCCCTGCTCATGGCAGAGGGGTTGGAACTGGGGGATCCTTGTGGTCCCTTCCAACCCTGACAGATTCTGATCTGTTTTAGCAGAGGTCTTTAGAGCCCTAATGGCTCAATGGTTGGACTTGATGATCTTAAAGGTCCCTTCCAACCTAAAGGATTCTATGATTCTTCTCTGAGGCTTTGAGGACAAGGAAGGGGTGACTGAAATGAGGTCTCTTTTTCCAACGTGGAATTCAGGGTTTGGAGCAGGGCCATAGCCATGGGTTGTCCTGCTGGTCCCCTGGGCAAGAGCCAGCTCTCACTCCGCTGGGGCCACCTCATCTCTGTAGGGCTGTGCTCATGACACAAAACCTCAGGTGATGCTGAGTGATAATAAAATAAATGTCTTTATTTTTAATAGATGGACAAAACAGACCCCAAAACAGACAGTATTTTCCTGAATTTCATGGGCATTATTGAATACAATACAAATTAAGTTAAAACATATATATTAAGCTTCCTATCTGCTTTGTTAGGTATAGTCTCAATATAACATTTCTGACACAGACAAAAATATACATTTTTTTTTTGAACAACAGCCACAAATACTGCCCTGATTAACAGCAGACTTACAGTAACTTACTGTCTAGTTGTACATGGTACCTGATCAAATACGCTTGAAAGGAAGAAGGAAAAATGAATAACATTTTTTTTTCTATGATATTTACATTTGAAATCCTAAATTGTTCTACTATATGAAAATAAAAGACTAATTCTTTTACTTTATTTGATCCACTTAATGTTTACATTCAGTTCAGGTTCACAAAAGTATGTTTTATTTATAATACATATACCATCCTATATGGAGAAATATAGATGAAATTGTAACTTTTTTTTTGACATCTCAGCTATGTTATTAACCTTGATTTTATGAACACATCTCATGCAAAGAAGGTAAAAAACCCTGTCAAATAAGTGTTATTCACAAACATTAAGAGTATGAAACAAAAAGGTGTGATTGTGATATGAATATTTCATCTAGAAATCGTAGGCTTAGAAATTATAACCTCAGTGCCTGAAAATGAGCTGATTGCTTCACTGATTAGAGATCCAATTTAGTGCACAGTACTACTGTCTACAAACTGCAAAAGTGGAGAAGGAGCAGCTGATGATTTCCATGAAAAAACAATTATCTACCTGTCGAATCATGTCCTGCTGGCATTTTGCTTGTGGAAGTAACTTGGTTGTATTTAGTTCTCTCTTTTTTTCCCCTTTTCCCACAGCTATCCATCATAGGGATGGTCTGTAGTTATATGAACAACTTCATATGAGTTTAATGGTAGAATAGCTGAACTAAGGCAATAAAACTTGTAAACAGGCTTGGTTTGGTTTGGTTTTAGGAGTCATCCCACCCACTCCACATCCCACCACTGCAACCATGGCAGCTGTTGTTGGATTCACACGAAGACGAGCACAGAGACTTGGGGAGTGGAGAGCAGAGTGAGGGTCACACGGTGAGGGGTCCTCAGTGCTACTTCTCTGCACGACAAAGCTTACATGGCATGCTGCTTGTGAAAGTGCAATAACCTTCCAGGCTCCCCAGAGAAGACTGGAAAACTTTGTTGGAACCATTTTCCACCATGGAATGGATAGTTCCAACTAAACAAGAATATTTTGCAGGATGGCAGTGATTTCACAAAAATATTTGATAGGAAAAATGGTATAAACTCTTCTGATAAAGTTGAAAGCATGTGGTTTGAGATTGTTTGACTAATGTGTTTTGATTTTTCACTTCACATTTTCATTTTGAGCACTTTAAAAGCCTTTTTTTATAGCCACAAGAGAATACAAGGGAGAATGAATTATTTTTATTTTTTTAATCAGAATTTCTTAAGTGAATCCAGCCAAATCCCTTTCTCCTTTCCCTCTCCTCCCACTGTTGGGAATTTTGAAACAAATAACAGAAACACTGCTGTTTTCAAAGCTTCTGGCCACTGTGCAGCTTCTCATAGTGAAATTCTGGCAACTCCTAGACAAAACTGGAATAAGAGAAAATTTCCAGGAAGACCTGCAAGTGGCTGTAGAATGGGATCCCCTAACTTAATTTGGAACTGCAGTGTAAGGCATTGGCTATGTAAGCAGGCAAAACACTAGCTTGGTATTTATTTATAAGAAGGGATTCAGGCTAGTGGATTTACACCAGGAATAGATGATAATTCAGCAGTGGCTCTGTTCTCCCATACAATCTCTTTCCTCTTCTCTTTTCCATGGTTCATGAGGGAATAAATTCCACTGGGCTCACATCCAGTTTATGACATCCTCAGCACCCTGAATTTCCTCGGTGGCTCTTTCACTCACAAGAATTTTTCATTTCTTTGCTATATTGGCTCTTCTGAGGTTTTAGTGCAAATCCTGATTGTAATTCCCTCCACCTCAATATTTGTTAGCACAGTAGTACCACAGTCCACAATGCATATTCAGAACTGAGATGCAGTGTTATTTTTAAAAGCAGTATATGGAGGAACAAAAAAAACAACATCTCTAAAATTAATTTTCTCTACGTATAAAATAGATATATGCTCTTAAAACTCCACAAAAGGAGCAAAAAACATATCTAAGGATTCAACCTTGTGAAAGCTGATGTCAGCATTGAATGCACAAGTTGATGGCTTCTTCCTTTAGCAGCAAAACCTCTTCCAACATCTCCTAACCTCCAGCAGAGCTCCTCGTGCTGTGAACGTTAAATTGCGCCAGCAAAATCTGGATCTCAGTTGAACATTTTGTGTCATGTTTAGATATTAAAAGGGATTATTGGAGCATAACTCTTAGTTGTACAGCAATCTAGCTATTAGATCTCCCACTGTGAAAGGCACGTTCCAACGGGGACAGACACAATCATTCTTGGCCTTGAGCAAATGGAAAGGACACCGTGTGTTCCCATTTTTTCCCATGGGAAATCAAATTTTTTGGGAAAATGTGATTTTTTTCATGGAAAATCTACACTTTCTAGAATAATCCCAGGAAGACCAACTCAAACGACTTTTCTTATTAGGTGAAAAATGGGGGTTTTCCTCATGGAAAACTCTCTCAACTGTTTTTCAAGACTTCTTGACCCTCCTTACTTTTAAATATTTCTTCCATTGCTGCAGTTTCTTGGTATCAGACTGCTTTGCTCAGTCTTCATTTTGGTGATAAGTCAAGATAAAGGTTTCTTTCCTCAACATTGAAAGGTTCTATTTAGTTTATAAGAGTTCTGTGATTTTTCCCAAGCTGAGTTTTGACTCCAATTATTGCTTTAAAAATTCTATTATCCTCCATTGGTGACAGCCATTGACCCCAGGAAAAAAGGAACACCTGCAGTAACATACTTTGCTTAAGGTCTTGCACTAGATATAACACCATTTTAAACTGGTGACTTTATTTTAACTTTTTAAATTAATAGATTATGTTTAGCACTCCTATAAGGAATGTATTATTATTTTCACATTTTCCTATTTTACACAAATAATAAAATACTCTATTTGGATTACTTGAATTTCTTTATGAGGAAAAAAAATGACCAGACCAAAAACCCAGGGAAATTAGCTATCTGTCTTTGCTCAAGCAACTAGCTCTTTAGTAATAAATCATTTATAGCCATAACAATGTATTTTCACTTAATGCCAATAAAATATTGACTGATGGCATTTCAGAGTGACTGTAGTATAATCTCTTCATAGATGTCCTAGCTAAATAACTGTTGCACTTTTGCTGCTACATATATTTTCAATTGTAAATATTTTTTTTAATCACACAGGTTATAGTTCTGGGGGGAAAGGATGAGTGTGTCTTTTGGTAAACACTCTATGATCTAATCTAACATTAGATAATAAATGAGAAGCATTTCTAGGAGAGGGATGCTCCTGTTCCTACAAACAACTCAAAGAATTTTGTGCAGTGGCATTTTATTTCCAATTCTTGCTTTTCTTCTGATAAAATGCCTCTTACTGTTCTTCACGGAGTATCTTGCTTCACCCTGCTTTGCATGTGGTGACCAGATTTGTTAATTATCTTCAGTGTTGGACAGCTCTGGACTCGAGTCGACGTAATTGAAGGCTTCCTTGTTTGTGAAAGTGGAGCTCAAAGTGAGACTGTGCCGTGGATTCACAGGGGCGAGTTCATTTAGCACAATATTGTCACTTTTTACAAGAGTTGCTTTGTCCATGTGTTCTCGACTGTACCTGGCAACAACAGCATCGAGGAAGTCCAGCTTTGGTGGCAAAGTCCCACTCTCAAACAAGTATTTGGCTAAGTAGGAGACTATAATGTTAGTAAAGAAGGAAGTAAGCATAGCAAGTGTTTTAAACGGGAACCGCTGGGTGTAGATGTTGTTTTCATCTGGGTAGCAGCCAGGATAGTAGATCAGGGGCTGAAGGTAGAGGTATGGTTCTCCTCCAGTTATTCTGAGAACAAGGCCAAACAAGTATCCTGCAATGGCACCGTAGGTGTTGGTTCCTTTAATAAACAACACACACAGGAGCTGGGGGAATATGATGATATAGACAAGGTCAGAGCTGAGGTACCACAGACCATACACTGACGAAGCTAGCAGTGCCATTGCTGTTGCTGAGGCTCCAAATAGGAACACAGTGATTCTCATGACCCACACGATTTCCCTGTCTGAAGCCTGCAAAAAGAAAAAAAAAGGGCAGATTTAGGTGGTTTTTCATGGCAATATATGTATGCTTGCCTTTATGCACTTCGTCAATATAAAGTATGATGTTGTAAAAGGAAATTTTGCAATGAATAATAATGTTTACAGATGAATAATAATATTTACATATGAATAATAATAATATCTGTATATGAATAATAATAATATTAACCTATGAATAATAGTATTTACAAATTACTATCTCTATCTCCCTCTCAAGCATGGGAAAACCCCCAAGAATGTTGATTGCCATTCCTAAAGTCGTTAATCTTTGAGCATAAGGAAAAGTTTGATAACATTTCAAAGAAAAAAAATAACAGTAGAATGTTAGAAATAACTTTTAAATATAAGCACAATATGGCTCAACCAGAAAAAAAAATGTAGCATCCAAATTTCTTCTCAATTTCCTAAGAAAAACTCTGACTCACAAGCTCATTCTGCTGTCAAACGATTTCCTGATACATCAATAATTCAGGAAGATGTCTCATTTTGTTAAGGGTTTAACTTATGGTTACAGCAATAATTAGGAACCATTTGGATAAAGTGCAGGGCCCTGAGGACTCTGGAAAGCTGCCTCCCCTGAGCTAACTTTTTCACCTCTGCCACCAACCACAACCAGAAATATTTTTACAACTTTCAGCTTATTCAATATACTGTTAGGAACAAAATGCTGCACTTTTTCTGGTCCTAGGTAGGACTGTGAAAGAGGTGTTTCATTATGAATTACAGTCTATCCATCACCAAGTTAAGGCCTCACCTAAAATTTTCTCTAAAAGTAGAAATGAAAATGCAATCTCACATTTTGCCGGAAGGAAAGCTGGTAAATGTTCCGGGCAAACATAGAACTTGCAGATAAAATTGAGGAGTCAGCTGATGACATCACGGCAGCAGACACCGCCCCGAGGCCGAAGAATGAGATATAGACTGGGCAGAGGTACTGGAGCACGATTGGTAAAATCATATCTGCTTCTTTCCTGGTCATGGGGTCAGGGACACCGTATTCAGTCTCGTTCCAGGCTGCAACGTGGACACCAGCATGCTGTTAGCAACATTAGCAGTCAACAGCTACAGCATCTCTTGACTTCAGCTGCAGTGAGGTATTCATATTGCCACATTTTCCTTCATATGAAAGTGAAAATTTCATTCACATGACCAAACTCAAGCATTTTGGAGAGGCATCGTCCCACTGACTTCTATTAGGCATAGAATCATAGAATCATAGAAT